TTAGACAAAAACTGTTAGGTCTAACATTGTTAATACTAAGTGGCTGTTGACTAAATATGCATTTAGAGTTGTTAAGGATTGAAAAGTTCAGTTAATTATTCTTGTTGTGCCGTCAAACACATTTTTTTGGGAACATATAATCACTTTTATTATTCAGAACCAGTGCTAATTAATTGAAAATTTTTGGTTTAATTTGGGTTGGTATTCAGAATTAGCCAAAACTGCATATTTTAAAATTTAGTTAAACATTAAATAAGGTCACGTACTTTCACTAAATTCACAATTGAGATCCTAAAATTCATTACGCACAAATAAGGTTATGAAATAAGGTCAAAATTGGACAAAAATTATTATTTGTTAAATTAATCATTAATGTGGTTAATTATTCTAATTGGTTAAATATCTAAAATCCATGATCCCTAGCCTTTCTATTTTATCTTGTAATAACCTTAAAGGTTTCAATTGCCTTGAAACTTATTTGTTTTAATGATGTGGCAATTTTGCAAGACCTATAATCAAAAATTAATTTTTTTATTTTAATTACGTGACATTTATGTGGCCTATTATAAAATAGTTGCATTATTATTTTTTAGAATGGTAACAAACAAATTATATCAACTAGTTTGAATCCCTACCCATAAAAAATAGTTAAATAAATAAGGAATAAAAGAAAGGTGGTATTATAGATAGTTTACAAATTCATCATCATTTATACAATGAATAAAATAAAAAATTAGGCTTCATCCAAAAAAAAAAAAGAAAAAAAGAGTAGGTTATTTTGGTATGTTAAGTATAATTATGGTTTTTAGTTTTGGTTTTCAAAATTCAAATAATCAAAATTAAAAATTAAAATTACCAATTTAGTGGGTATAAAATTTAAAAATGAATATCCAAAACTCTAAATTTCTTCAATTTATAGAAATTCTTAATTTGATTTTACGATCTTTAAATTTTTTATTTTCAATAGTTGCAAAATTTTTAGAAACCAAAATTAAAAACTCAAGACCAAAACCATAGTATAGTTATAATTTTTGGTTTAAATAAATTAACTCAAATAACCAAATATGTAGCTCCGGTTAGCACTTGAGTAGGCAAATTTTGCAACTACTGAAAAAACTAAACTAAAAAATAAAAAAACTAACAATTTGTTTAAGAAGAATTTTAATAATAACTACAAAAAAAAAATTATATAATAGTATTAAACTATTTTTTGTTCTTATTTTTTAATAATTTTGATAATATGTTATAAAAACACATGAAAGTAATTGTAGGTTTAATTTTTAGTTAGAGTTGCACATTTTATAAAAATCAAAATAAAAAATAAAAAATCATAACCATGACAAACAAAGCTTTAGTTGAGTCAATGAATTTGACAATAGTATTTCGATTATTTAAATAAAGCTGATTAATAACCATACTGATAATGGACTCAAATAAAATTTGTTGATATGGTTTTATCTAGATTAAACCAACACATAACAAAAAGGAAAAAAAAAAGGCTTAAGATTTCACTTAATTTAGTTATAATTGAATTAGGCTCAAGGCAAGAGATAATATAAAAGGGTGGACTATAGAAGTGAATAGGTTAATGTTTTGTATCTACTTTTTTTTTTTTTTTCATTTTATATACTTTAACTAAAATAACTTTGATTTGGGATCAAGGTCAAGGTTTCAAACCTCTACCATAACAAATAGCTAATCTTTCAATATACTAAAAAAATATGTTTATACCTCAACAAAAACTTACATGAATCAAAATTTAAGATTAGTATACCTGTAGGTTTAACAAATGAATGAAATTGAAGAAATTAGGGATGATGACCAAATTAAACCAAGTAAATTACAAGCACCAGTACATCTGCCTAATTGCAAACCTATTTCTCTATACGCAGAGGGTTGATGAATATTTCCTGAAATTAGAACTTGATTCAAATATGATCAATAAAAGAATAACTCATAAGATTTGTTAAGTAGCTAAATAATAATTAGGTAAAAACAAATCTAAAGATAAAAGAATCTAATAATTTACTAAAAAACAATTTGAAAATGAGGAATCTAACAAAAATAAAAATAAAAATAAGGTTATTCATCCCAAAAAATAAATAAATATTTTTTTATTTAATACATACTTTAAAAATAACATAAACGTGCATAATCGTGATTGAAGATCTTAATAGATGGTATACCTGCATGTTCAATGGAAGAATTTGAAGAAAATGGGCGCTGGTAATATTCCAAGCAGTTAGGCCATGCAAATTGGAGGCAACCACACGCGCACAATTGCAAGCCAAATTGTGTCCGATCGATAATAAGAACAGGTGAGATGGTCAAGGAGAAGAGCAAACTTTAAAGAAGTGATTTAGCTGGATATATTTCCTGGATGATGCTTGGCGATATGGCAGTGGAATGAATATATGCAAAGTGATCCAAAAAGGTACAATTAGTGTAAGGGTATTACAGTATTGGAATTAAGTAGGCAAGTTGAAACCAATTACAAGAGAGGTTGGTGCAATATTTTCACTAAGATGCTTAACAATAATTATACAACATTATAAAATTAAAAGAAATACTTAGTAGAAGACTTAATAATGACTTAATGGAAAACTATATACATCAAAAGAGGATCCGTGAATATTACCCTTAGAACAATGGGAACAAGTGGATAGCTCGGAGCCTTCAATGCATTGGTTTTTTTGCCTTTTTGTGTTCTCTTGCAAAAAAGTTTATCTTTCTCAGCCTTGGATTCCCATCTAGTCTCTCTTTTTTTTATTTTCTTAAAAGAGATACTTAATGGAAGACTTAATAATGACTTAATGGAAGACTATATACATCAAAAAAAGAAGCCGTGAATATTACCCTTAGAACAATGGGAACAAGTGGATAGCTCGGAGCCTTCAGTGCCTTACTTTTCTGCCTTTTCGTGTTCTCTTGTAGAAAAGTTTATCTTTCTCAGCCTTGGATTCCCATCTAATCTCTCCTCTTTTTTTTTTTTTCTTCATTTTTCTTTGTATATTCTATTTGCGATTTAGATTTCAAAAAAATACCTGGTGAAGTTAATATTCGTTAATTTAAAATTTTTAATTTAAAATTAAAATTAAAGATTTAAACTTCTATTTTATTAAATAACTAACTATATGATGGTTTAAAAAAATATTTCAAAGAAATGCCTTTGAGTCTTGAACACCACAAAAGAAAAGATGAATATCCGTTAAAATAAAGTGTTAAAAATCACCTCCAAAGATAAAAAGGTTTAATTTCAAATAATATTTTTGAACTTTAAGAAATCAATAAATAATATTCATAATCTTTACTTGTGTTTAATAATATTTTAGATAGGTTAAACTCTTAATTTGATCATTCAATTATTATATGCCTTTTAAGTGATCTCTAAAGTTAAAATTCTTTGTTTTGGTCCTAAAATTTAGAAATTTGACCTCTTTTAGTTACTCCATTAAAAATTCACCAACAATACTAATTACTTAGATAAATTTTTAAATTTTAAATTAAATTTTAATTAAATAAAATAAAATAATTTAATATTTTAATTTTAATTTTTTTAAGAGTCGAAACTGATATACATTTTTTTCTTAATTTTTTTTCCATTATATTTTTTTTACCATGCTCTCAATTCTACATGTAAAAAATTTTGTACATGTCATTCTTCTCTTATCAAGTAACCAGTCACATTAATCTGCTGGAATCCTGCCAACCTAGTATCAAAGGAAGTTGTTTATAGGGAAAGGGGGTTGTGTTGCGCTGCAACGGTCTAGTTGTTAACTTTATAACATTTAATATTTTAATATCTCACTTGGTTGTAAGTTAATAATACCTGACTTAACACAAGTCATATTAGTGAATTTTTAATGGAGGAACCAAAAAGACCAATTTTCAAAGTTTTGAGACTAAAATAGTGATTTTCGAAGTTCAAGAATTAATTCAAACGTTTATGTAATACTTGAAAGATAAAGTTGTGGGTTTTACTTTTAAATCTATATAAAAAGTGAGGATTTGAGATCCCTTCCATAACCACCATTAAGGTTCCGTTAATTTTTCTTTCTTTCTTTCTTTCTTTTTTTTTTTTTTTCCCTCCCTTTTTTTTTTTTTTTTGGTTAAGTCCAAATTAACAAACTTTGTTAAATTGGAAAAATATGCAATAAGCCCTTCAAATAATTTTCACTAACAATTTTTTTAGTAATTTCTATTAAATTGAGATGTCTCATTTAATTTACACATGAAATTTTATTCTCTTTTTAAATATAATGAATATAATGAATTTTTTTTTTTTGTGAATAATTAAAATTTAAATAATAAAATAAGCACATATATGTAATTCATACTTAACATTAGTTTTGAGTATCTACATTAGCATATGTTCCAGTGATATTAAAGGTGAGTTCAATATTATAGTTTTATTAAGGGCTAATTTAAAGGTAAAAATTATTTTTGTAGTTATTATTATAAAAATAATTTAAGAAGGTTTATTTGCTTGTTTTTCTAACTTAACAAAGTTAGTTAAGAAATTAAGCTTAAATTAATACTAAAAAATAATAGATTAAAAATAATTTATTTTTGAAATAAAGGATTATTTAATAATTTAATCAAATAAAAAAAATTAAGAGTATATGGGTACTATCTCAAATTAACAATATTATTTTACTTTTAAATACAGATAGAAATTATGAACTATTGGATAAGAGATAATTTTTAATATCAACAAACTCATCTCTTATTTAATATGTAGTCTAATATAATCCCAATTATATAACACTTTTATTTTTCTTCAAAAATACTTCCCGAATAGAAATGATAAATTTTTAAATAAAAAGTGATAAAATGCTGAGAGGTTCACCCTCAAACGTTAATAAAATTGTTAATTTCATCCTCATTCATGGTTGTTTCGCATTTTTCCCTCCTACGTTTCGTAACAAGACGAATCACCCCGGAGAGGACGGGGACGGTCTCGTGACACACGGAACCTTAAACCCTCACAAAATCTTACCCTCTTCTCTTCTCTTCTCTTCGCTCCGGAAACATAAACAATTGCATTCAATTCTTCCTGTAAGAGATGATTCTAAGTGGGGTTCACTTCGGAGGCAACCCTTTGCTACAGCCACAAGAATGTCTCAACTACCAGCAACAACAAAGAGAAGAAAGAGAAGGTGATAGTGATATTTGGGCCTACAGGGGCCGGTAAGAGCAGGCTTGCCTTGCAGCTTGCCAAGCGTCTTAATGGTGAAATCATAAGTGCACACTCTGTCCAGGTTAGTCTCTATCTTTGGGCGTTGTTTTTTTGGTAATCAATTGATGATTCTTTGTGTTCTGATGATCAATTGTAGCAGAATACAAGAAATTGTATCTGGGTTCCTGAGTTTTCATGCAAATAGAATTTTGAATTACAAAGAGAGAATTTTCGTTTCCTAAAGTTGGTTTCCTAAAGTTGGTTCAGTGTACAGGAATAAAAGAAATCATATCCAAGTTCCTTTTTTTTTTTTCTCTCTGTGTAATCTGAAATGGGGTCTTGAAGCCATTGTGAAGAACTAGACGTTATAATTAGTATGGTACCCTCAGTTTGTAATTTGTTTTTCTTTAGTAGCAGCGCTTTTATAAGCTGCTCATGAAGTACCTTTAGTCTTTTGGATAAATGACATTCACATTTCATCCCAAAGAAAAAAAAAATCATATTCTTGTAAGACTGATTGGGACATTGACCTAAGAGGAGCAACGGTTATTTGGTGAAATGTATCCTTATGTTATGATTCTTAATATGGGTTCGTTGCTAGTGTTCCTATACACTAGAGTTGATGGCTGGTAGGAAACTTGTAGATAATCCACATGTTCTAGTCGCTATAGATTGCTGGTGCTTGTTCCTCTGCCATTTCTGTTATTAACCCTGATGATGCCAAAGGCAATTTGGGGTTGTATCTTGCGAAGGCAGTGATATTTCAGAAACAAGCTTAGGGCCTGTTTGGTAGTGCTTCTTGGAGCTTTTACTTTTTTTTACTATTTATGAGTGATAAATTTAAATTTTTATTAAAAGGAAAATTTAAAAGTTACTTTTAAAGATACGAACAAGTGAGTAAAAAAGGAGATTGTGAAAGTTTGAATTTGAAGTTTTTGAGTTTTTACTATTTAAGACTTTTTAAAAGTTAAATTTTTTTTTAAAATGTAAGTTTTTAAAAGGGAAATTTAAACTTATAAAACATGAATAGTGTGAAAAAAACTGAAGCTCCTGGAAGCATTACCAAACAGGCCCAATTAATCATGTTGAGGATGACACATTCATGTTCATTTTAGAGCCTCCTGGCACAGCTGACTTGTGAAAGCTTGTAATTATTATAAGCATTAAGTCTAGATTCCAGTTTTCATATGAGTCTTTTTCCTTTCGGGCCATTCACAATAAGTGATGAGAGCTTATCCCCAGTGGATTTATTCCTGAGGTTTTCTGTTGCAGGTTTACCGTGGTCTTGATATTGGGTCAGCAAAGCCTCCTCTGAGTGACAGAAAGGTACCTGCTTAAGCTATATTTACATGACTAGTGTTATTCATTAATTATGCATACATGTCAGTCCACAAAAGAAGGAAGATCAATATCTAATCAGAACATCTATAGGAAACTTTGATGCACTTACAGTGGAAAAATTGTTTGGTTTGATTGAAAAAGTCAACAAATTTTAAAATCAAGTAATTGAGTATCACAGGGGGCTCTTGCAGATTTAAACAGATCCATGTACTTTGAGGGCATAATTGTGCATGGTTGCTAATGTGAACTTATGTTGCATCTATGCTAAAATTATTTATAAATCTCTTCTTTCATATATCTCACATGTGTCTTTGACCCCAATTACTGTTGAGGTCTCAAGCCACATGCATTATTTCTCTGAGTCAGCTTATTTTTTTGGCAGTTGGCAGTCTTTTTTTATCCGAAGAAGCAAAGTATGCTGCAGAATGGGCCTGGTTATACCAGCTCTTCTCTTTCTTTCCTTTTTTTTTTTTTTTTGCCGACTTGGGTGAACATAGCCTGTTGATTAGAAGCAATTGGTGGATTAGAAAGGCCTGATTGATCTTGGTGCTAATAACAAGAATAGTGAGAAACAATTTATTCAGCTAATAAATTTTCATGCATTCAGGCTTCAGCTTATGGAAATGGCTTGTTAATTTATAGAACTCTTTGTTAATGCACTTATACGATCTAATGGATGAAAATTAAGCAAGAATTCTATCGATTAACGAGTCATTTCCAATTGAGTCAATAAGTTGTTTGGGTTGACGGAAGTAAGCTTTTTTGTTGCCTGTGTATCACTTTTAGCTATTCAGTGACTATAATTTGAAAAATATATTTTCTCTCTCTTTTTTCTCCCCATAAATAGTTTCCTTAACCATCTGATTCAATCCTCTTGTAGGAAGTGCCACACCATCTGGTAGACATATTGGATCCATTTGAAGGTATGTTTCTGGTAACATCAGATAATGTCGACAAACCATGTTATGCATTCTGTTTATTGTAGACATCGTTTGCCTTCCTAAGTTTCTGAAAGTTTTATTCTTTTTATTAGTTCAGACTATTCTGTAGGACAATTTTTTGAGGATGCCAGGCAAGCAACAAGAGATGTTCTTGACAGTGGCCATGTTCCTATAGTCACAGGCGGCACTGGCTTGTATTGACGATGGTTATGTTCCCAGATATGCTTTTGCCTAGGTGAGCTTTGTTAAGTTGCAGTGCTTCGTCTTTTTCTTTCATAGTTATAAAAATCGGATGCGACCGGATCGGATCAGACCACCCAGTGGCCTAAACAGATCGGGTGAATGTTGGAAACCGGTATGAAGGTTGAACCATTCATAACCTGTAGAACCGTTTGAACCGGTACAAACCATTAACCATTAAACCGGATGGTTCAAAGCTTTTGGAAAAATTTTCCTTCAAGCGGATTTTTAACAACTTTTGCCACTATAGTGTCACATGAGAAATTGTTATTTTTTGCTTAAAATTTTATTTCTTTTAGTGTTAAGAAGAAAAGAAGTGAAAACATTATTAAAGAGATTCCAACTTCCTTCGATTTTATCAAGTTCCTCTACGTAATGCCGAAAAAAAATTGTTAACTTTTGTATTGAAATTAATATAAATTTTGTTTAATTTATATTTTAAGGGTATAAATTAAAGTGTAATAAAT